TTCCTGTAAAAAAATTGGAAAAAAAAAAAAAAAATACTGTTCTTGTGAGGTAAAAAAAGCCATGAGCTGCAAACACCAAGGTCTAAAACCAGCTAGCATAAAATAACATTCAATGGAAAACCAAACCATTTAGATAGAAACTGAATTATCTTTCTTTGTCTTTAAAACTTCACAATAAATTATCTTTCTTTGTCTCACAACTCACAGGCAACTATTCATATCATAAATCACCTAAATTGATGCAAATCGACATAAAATAAGAATACAACAGCACCTAACATCAAAATCTCCAACTGAGTATTCAATAATTTCAAGAAAGCATTAAAATTTTGCAGGTTTGACAACCACTCGGTGTAAAAAAGACTGCAGCCAAAATTAACGACAAGGACTGACTACAATAACTGAATAGTAAGATAAACAGAAGAAAGTGAAAAGGGACCTGGTTTGTAGAGAAAGAGACGAGAAACTGGACGTTTTGATAGAAGCAAACGATCGCCTACAAAAGAAGAGAGGAGTCTTGGTTGCAGGGAAGAGGCGCCAACCATTTTTGTGCTTTCAGTGCTTATCTGTTCTTGAACACCAGAAATCTCTCTGTTTTTCTTGCCCTCCTTTGTTCTCCTCACTTTTTCCAATTGCTTCGGAATGTGTTATGGGCCTGTTTAATATTGGCCCATTTGGTTCTTATTTCCGACTTTCGGGCTCAAGCCCAAGTGTGATCCATTATAGTTCATAGCTGGCAATAACATTTAAGACGGGCTACAAAATTGATCAAAAAGGGCAACCTGATTTTCACCCCCCAAAGTTTCCGGAAAAAAAAGAAAAGGCAAAATAAAAGATTGGCCGCATGATTCGACAAAGTGCAAACTTTAACAAAGACCAAAATACATGGAGAAAATATTGTTGCTCATGTCATTGTTTATTTTTTTTATTTTTTTTGGATTTTTATAGTGATTTTTTTTATTTGAATCATAATTAAATGTTAATTGCTTCTATTTTGTTACTAAAAGTAAAAATTAAAAAATATAAAAGCAATATAAAAAACATGAAGAAACTAAATGGTCATTTTAAAATTAACTAAAAACATTAATTTTTTTCCTTGTAAGTTTGCAACATTCCATCTTTCATCCATTTAAGTTTTATACATTTCAATTTTAGTCTAAAATTTTATTTTTTTTAGTTTTTGGTTTGAAATAGAGAAAAAATAATAATTAAATTCTAGTTATAACAAGAGAAAATTGTTGGTTGATAATGATTCTGATCACTAAAATAATTAATCTTGGTGTTAACTTATTTTATTTTATAAAAAAAATTTACTAAAATATTTTTTATCTTTAAAATTCATAAAAAAAAAAAAAAGAACTGACCTTGTAAAATTATTGGATTTCAGGGATTTGTTATTTTTTGGTTATTTGAAGACATCTTGATTTTATTTGGGTATCTATTGTATTTTTTAGATGTATTTAGATAGATAAGTGGTTGAATATAGATTTTTTAAATGTAAAGCATTTATTGCTTGACTTTTGGCGACCTTTAATTGTAGAATCTTTGTAGAGTAGAAGATGCATTTATCTTTTTTTTTTTATTTCAAAAAACTTAGGGGATGATAAGTCGTCAGCCCCATTAAAAAAAAAAACCTAGATGAGTGAGTTGCTCTAAAATCACACCAGCTTATTTTTTGGTGTTCATGCATGTTAGGCCTCAAACTTTTATTTTTTTCCTTTTTTTTCATTGTTTTTTCTAATTTGATCTTTCACAATTGAATCGTTATTGACTTTTCTTGCTTATTTTTTTAATTTTATTATTTGATGTTTTGTTGATTTTTAATGTGGCAATATAATTTGTTTCAATTTGATATTTGTAGGTTTGTCAAAATCTTAAACAAGTGCTGCGATATTTAGTTGTTTATCGATTTTGTGAACATCTATTTTTCTTATTATGCAATTAAATGAAAAATTTATATAAAAAATTATTGGACATGATTGAGTACAAACATGATCCGAGTCATAGATTTGACTAATTAACTTTAATTGATTACAAATCAAACTTCATAATTTATTTTAGTTGTATAAATAATTTTCAATTTCTTTAACTAAATATCCCATGACCTAAATTTTTACCTTTTTTCAAAATATTTTTAAAAAGATGAAAAATCCAAAAAATATGATTTTTACGCAATCACATCATTTTCAATTTCTTTTTAAAAGAATCAAAAATTCAAAAATCTATTTTCAATGCATTGTACTATTAAATGCTTTTATTTAAAAATCTTTTCTTATTAAAATGATGTTGATTTTGCTTTTTAAAAAAATACAAAATAAAAAAAATGAATAAAAAGATTAAAAACGCAAAGCAAGAAAATGGAGACCAGCACTAAAACCAATATGAAAAACATAAAGAAACTAAATAGTCATTTTAAAATTGACTAAAAATATTAAATTTTTTTCCTTGCAAGTTTGTAACATACCGTCTTTCATCCATTTAATTTTTTTACATTTCAGTTTTTTTTTTACATTTCAGTTTTAGTTTAAAATTTTATTTTTTTTAATCTTTAGTTTGAAGTAGAGGAAAAAGAAATAATTAGATTCTAGTTGTAACAAGAGAAAATTATTGATTGATAATTATTCCGACTACTAAAATGATTCATCTTGATGTCAACTTATTTTATTTTATAAAAAAAGTTTACTAAAGTGTTTTTTATCTTTAAAATTTATGAAAAAATAGATCTGATCTTGTAAAATTATCGGGTTTCGGGGATTTATTATTTTTTAGCTATTGTTTGGTTATTTGAAGGCATCTTGATTTTATTTGGGTATCTATTGTGTTTTTTATATGTATTTGGATAGATAAGTGGTTGAAAATAGATTTTTTAAATGTAAAACACTTATAGCTTGATTTTTGGCGACCTTTAATTGTAAAATCTTTGTAGAGTAGACGATGCATTTATCTTTTTTTTTATTTCAAAAAACTTAGGGGATGATAAGTCATTAACCCCGTTAAAAAAAAAAAAACCTAGATGAATGAGTTGCTCTAAGATCACACCAGCTTATTTTTTTATATTCAAGCATGTTAGGCCTCAAACTTTTTTTTTTCCTTTTTTTCACTGTTTTTTCTAATTTGATCTTTCACAATTAAATCTTTATTGACTTTTCTTGCTTATTTTTTTAATTTTATTATTTGATATTTTGTTGATTTTTAATTTGGCAATATAATTTGTTTCAATTTGATATTTGTAGGTTTATTGAGATCTTAAACAAGCGCTGCGATATTTAGTTGTTTATCAATTTTATGAATATCTATTTTTTTTATTATACAATTAAATGAAAAATTTATATAAAAAATTGTTGGACATGATTAAGTACAGACATGATCCGAGTCATAGATTTGACTGATTAACTTTAATTGGTTACGAATCAAACTTCATAATT